GTAAATTGGGTAAAGGAGTTCCTGAAGGATAGACGATCGACCCACATTGAGAGGTGAGGTCTCCAGCTGGAAGATTATAACAAGTAGGGTCCCTGCAAGGCTTGGTCCTGGGACCACTTAATTGTTCTAATTTATGTCAATGATCTACCCGTGGGAATAAGCTCGTACATATCAATGTTTGCTGATGGTGCAAAGATAATGAGACATTTAAAAACAGAGGAGGAATGTATAATGTTGCATGAAGACCTTGATACACTTCAGGAGTGGACAAACAAATCGTTGTTAGAGTTCAATCCCAATAAGTGTAATGAAGATGGAGAAGGGTGAAAGAAGACCAGAAGGTGTCTAAACCATAAATGGAAGACAACAACAGGAATCGGAGAGATTTGGGAGTGGATATAATTCCACCACTAACACCAGAGGCACATAGGAAAACCTAATCGTAGTCTGTTTTTTCGTTCCCTTAGCGAGGTTTTTTGTGGTGAGGACTCAGATATCTCAAACCTTGCCTAACGCAAAATTACTTAAGTGTATTGTATTTAGCGTTTGAGAACTATACAGTCACGTAAGAAAAATCCTTAATATATTCTCTGAATATTTATTATTTGTATAATATTATATTTTAATAAACATGTGTCTCAAACAAAACCATGATGTCAAATTCAGATGTTATTATGCTAAAGTATCTATGTTATATAAATATAGCAACTGATAAGTCAAGCCTAAGCCTTTTGCGAACTGTAATATTTGAAAATGTAAAAGCGGTTTCATTCTCATTTCTTAGGCTATTAGCATTATACAAAAGCATAAAATGTGCCAAACAAAAAATTACTAAATTAGCAAATGTACACAGGCAAAACTGATGCACGTGCATATTAAAGGTTTACTAGTGAATACAACTGTGAATAGACTAACTCAACTCACTGCTAGGTGAATACGACTGTGAGTGAGTATATTTATTGCAAGGTAAGTCAGACTGTGAGTAACTGGGTATACTCGTGTACTCACTGCTTGCTGGGCGACGGGCTGATCCTGGAGCGGAAGACGATACCTGTGCCCATGGGACACCTGTCGTTGCCACACTGTGATCGTAGGGTGAAGGGCGACGGCCGTTGTGGCGTGTGGTGTGCCGTCAGGTTCAACGCATCACTGGACAAGCTCTCCAGGGATGTGTCCAGCTCCTCAGACGTTGCTGATACGTCTATTTTGAGTGAGTTCGAGGAATCCATCTTGTACTTCCTCAGAAGCAATAGGCTAGGTATGCTTTCTGCACCCAACGGCAGACTAATTCTTATGTGATTTCAGGCGGTCGGGACATTCTTTTCATTTACAAAATTATATTTGGGGTTTATGTTTTGTCCTCTATTAATATATAGGTGAAATTATATATTTATATATATAGTAATATATATTGATAATATCTATTGTTAATGTATATTAAAACACGCCGGGTTCACAAACACCTGCATTTACGCCACAAAATAAATATCTTAAAAGTTTTATGTAAAGCAATTATGGTTTAAAACTAATGAATGTAAAACATTGTCGAGACTGAACCCGTCAGAAATCTGAGAAACTAAGCAACACCCAAGCCGGGCCGGGGAGAAGAACACCCCCTGCTGGGCCGGGGAGCTCAACACCCCTACTGGGCCGGGGAGACGAACATCCCTGCTGGGCCGGGGAGCTCAACACCCCTGCTGGGCCGGGGAGCTCAACACCCCTGCTGGGCCGGGGAGCTTAACACCCCTGCTGGGCCGGGGAGCTCAACACCCCTGCTGGGCCGGGGAGCTCAACACCCCTGCTGGGCTGGGGAGCTCAACACCCCTGCTGGGCCGGGGAGCTCAACACCCCTGCTGGGCCGGGGAGCTCAACACCCCTGCTGGGCCGGGGAGCTCAACACCCCTGCTGGGCCGGGGAGCTCAACACCCCTGCTGGGCCGGGGAGCTCAACACCCCTGCTGGGCCGGGGAGCTCAACACCCCTGCTGGGCCGGGGAGCTCAACACCCCTGCTGGGCCGGGGAGCTCAACACCCCTGCTGGGCCGGGGAGCTCAACACCCCTGCTGGGCCGGGGAGCTCAACACCCCTGCTGGGCCGGGGAGCTCAACACCCCTGCTGGGCCGGGGAGCTCAACACCCCTGCTGGGCCGGGGAGCTCAACACCCCTGCTGGGCCGGGGAGCTCAACACCCCTGCTGGGCCGGGGAGCTCAACACCCCTGCTGGGCCGGGAGCTCAACACCCCTGCTGGGCCGGGGAGCTCAACACCCCTGCTGGGCTGGGGAGCTCAACACCCCTGCTGGGACAGGGAGCTCAACACCCCTGCTGGGCCGGGGAGCTCAACACCCCTGCTGGGCCGGGGAGCTCAACACCCCTGCTGGGCCAGGAGGTGGGCAAGAAGCTGCAAGTGACACTTCCTGCGTAAGGGAGGACATATACGCCTCCCCAGTACGCTGGGAGGCGTCGCTCACCAAATTCATGTTGATAATGGAGGTCCTCACTCGCCTGGAGCACACCCACTTACCTACTGACCATAAACACTTTGTAATACATGCATGTCTAATTAGTGATCGGAATTGTTTAACCCACAACTTTGCTAAAGCACAATGGTGTAAGTTGCATAAACTGCGTTTTTGTGTGGTGTATATTTATATATGTATATCTTTATTATTAGACTCTTAATCATATGTCGCTTGACTTTGTATTAATACTGGAATAACATTATGTTCCTTACGCACACTTGGTTGATTGGTTATTTCATTTGAAATGTTATCTTGTAATTACTTCCAAATATACATAGCATTGATGACACATAAAAGTTCTACGAGTAATTTCATAACAGTATTCCATAAGTGATAATTTATATTAATGTACAATAATCAGTAGAACTGCTCAGCACTTCACACAAAAGTTGACAACGGTTTAAACTTGGAGAGGAGCGCCGCGCAGCACGAGGACAACCAGGATGTGTGCAGGACGCAGCACCACGCTGGTCTGTGGTCACCCCGTCACTGGTCACCCTCAGCCCCGCCGCCCACACCGTCTCTACTACACGCTCACGCCATCTATCCTCCCGACTCTCAACTACACCCCATTCACATCTATTTCTGGATGGTTGCTGCTAAATAACAGCTCCACTAACGAAATTTGCGCGCCGTATTTACTTAATCCAAGGATATTTATAGCAATAGAGTAAAATGCTGTTGTCAGTGGCACCTGTAGCTTAGTTTAGTCGGTCGAGGCCTAGGAAGGACCTTAAAAGGCCTAACAGGTATAATTCCTGTCCCTGACAATGATCAATCCTAAGGGTACCGTACTTATTTATATTTATTTATTATTTGTATATACAATATGTACCTGCAGAATACAAGACAGAACACGAAACAATGGGTATAAATTGGATAAGTTTAGATTTAGGAATGACCTGGGTAAATACTGGTTCGGTAACAGAGGTGTTGATTTGTGGAACCAATTACCGCGTCTGTGTTTACCTAAGCTTGTTATTAATAAATAAATTTACCTATAAATAAATATTTTATAAAATGAGTCTTGCAGCAGCTACAGTATCGATTAAAAATCTGACAGTAAAGAATTATTTTCAAGTGACCATTTTCTAAAAATTCCAGCCCATCCTCCTGTTTAGGTAATATTGTACTTTTTGTAACTATGTGGACCATCGTACATAGTTGACAATTAGATACTTTACTAGAATTTGGTATTATTCATTTCATAGTCCGAAAAAATCAAGATAAAACAAACCTAAGTATCTCTAGGCCTAGTATAGTACATTTATGTACTATACTAGTATAGTATTATACTAGTACTATACTAATACAGTACATTTATGTACTTTATTAGGCCAAGGAAGGTTCAGTACAAAAATTACCAGTTTGTCCAAATTCAATAGTACTGATTTATACTTTCTATATTACCTTTTAAATCAATATATGTATATATAGGTCGTATATATATATGACCTATAGACCTATGTAAGTCGTATAATATAGGTCTTCATCGTTACTATAAATACTTCATAAACAAGAAGTTGCAGTCTGTATTGGAGCTGTCTAATTCCCAGGTACCTACACTTTTAGGTGAACAGAGGCACCAGATGAAAGAAACTGTCCTGCATTTGCTTGTCTCGAATGGCAATCAAACCCAGGCCCTTATGACAATATATATGTAGACAATGGGACAACAGCTGGTTTTAATGACTAAATTAATGGTTGCAGTTAAGATGGATAAGATGAATGCTTTTTCTTTATTTTATTATAGACCCCCCATTCCCACCTTGTGGGCGAGTGCTAGAAAGGTTACAGTGTCAAATATACTAAGCTCAGGTAATGAACCTCAATGATCTGTAAGCTAAGCCATTTACATTTGCTGCGAGCAGCAATAATTACCCACAATTTTAATTTGGCTAACATGCACCCAGTAGAAATATGACTCCTGCCTTGATGGTCGAATGATGATAGTTGGAATAACTACTGTACATTTCACTTTTTCTAAGATCAACAGTTTTATTTGAAATCACGTTGTATTTTTTGTCCTTAGGCTGTTCAGTTAATTAATCCAAGGTTATAGTCAACCCATTTGAAGATATATCATTGTGCATGGCAAAATCTTTGATCTGTTCTATCATGCATTCGGATGCAAACTGAGATGCAGTCCACATGAAATTGGACTGTTTCTATCATTAATTCTTCTTCACAAGTATGTTAAAATTGACTAAAATTGAATAGGTTAGGTAGGTTTCAAAATCCAATTCGATTCCTGGCAAAATAGGTCAGGTAGGCTTCAAAATCCGTTGCCGAATCATCTCGTGATTTTATACCACTACAGCCTAAAGTCAAGATCAACAGCCAGATCAACATCCACCATACTCCTGTGATCAGAAGAGATGTCATACAACTAAATGTGAATATACCGTATATAATTTTTACATCACACAGCTACAGTACTTTATTAAGAAAGAGAAGACAGATAGGGGAAATAGATTAGTAAATAATAAAATGCATTTTATTAAAAAACAATTCACTATGATACTATGTACAGTACATACAATTTATTATTAACATCTTTATTGACAAAATATACAAGTTTACCCATCTGAGAGGATTTTGAGGAGCATTATCTTGTAATCAAAAACATTTTGTTTATGAACACAACAGATAATTAATCTATTCAAAATTAAACCATACAATAAATAAAAAGAGGCACATAATTAGTAAAAGATTTTACACTTTCAATGCCTACCTGGTGATGGTTATTGCAACAACGGTTCAGAACTGTAATTATTATTAACTTTTATTCATGTTGCATACAAAGCTAGTTTATCTATCAATGTCAGGTTGCCATCAAATTAAAATTTTTAAATCTTCCTAATAAAATCTAAGACTATTTTTTACTTTTACTTTTATCATGAATTTTCGGAATAAATTATATCCTTGAGATACAGAATTTTGTCTTCATATGTAGCATGGGCCATTGAGTACCACATATAATGTGGTACTTCTTTCACAGTGTAGCCAAGTATCTCTAAGTGACGACGTTCCATTTTATGGCGACCCAACAGCTGGCGACTGTTAACACAGTAGGCATTTTCTTTGCGGAGGAGAACAGCCACCCTTGTGTAGATGGGAAAATGTTCAATGATTAGTTTAAGTATTAAGCTGCAAACAAGATAACATTACTTAAAGATAATTTTGTCTTAAAAACATGATATAAAACATGAAATTAGTTTAAATATATTTAAAACATTATGTTATAATTACTGCTTAAACAAACCAGAGTATTTGATAAGTGTTTTAGGTCTCATACAGACTTGTAATTCAGCTGCAGCATAATTATATTTTGAATCAGATATACAACAAAGTGGCATTGTCATGCTAACCTTCTATATCCAGTTGTGGTCTCAATACCTATATTTTGGTGAGTGTTAGTCTGCTCTTTTAATGGAATGTACTCATTTACCGGGACTGCTCGATTTCCTTTGTCTAAAAGGAATTCAAAATCTGAAATAAAAATTTTGGATAAATAAAATACAATGTACACAAATCTTAAATGTAATATATGGCAAAATGCAATATTCATTATTCTACACAGATCAAATACACTGGGATGCTTCAAGTAATCAGTACCCCCTGTACCCAGTCTGTGACACGGCGTACTACAGTACCCAGTCTGTGACACGGCGTACTACAGTACCCAGTCTGTGACACGGCGTCTTATTTACTCCTACCTGGAAGGTCTCCAGTGTGTCATATTTAAGCATAGTTTGAGTGAAGCCATCACAGGTGGAAGGAGCAGACACTTTGATGAGTATTCCCTATGGTGTAATTAGACAATAGATGTTTCATGCAATGGAAAATATACTAACATGAGGGATATGAAGTTAATGCTTATTACCATGTTAAATATAGAGACATTTCAGTTTTACATGAGGAAGGTGTAGTGTGTAATGTTTAAAGCATGGGGGGAAAAAGGACAACCGTATCAATAAATTGAAAGAGTTTAAAGCATATAAATTATAATATTTGACAATTATATTACTCAAGCCAAATTAAAGCCACTGCCCCTAATTGGTATTTAACCAAAAAACAAATGCTAAAATATAAAATTGTATTCAAAATTTTCATATATTTACTCAACAAATTTATCTGCTTTGTGAAACATTCAGCTGTGTCCTAGCTAGTCTAAGAAGAAACACTATCAACAAGCAAGGTAGGCTTTAGTCAAGCTCCCAGAATACAAGCATGATCAAAATGATAACGGTAACAAAAACATCATGTCCCTCCCCGTCTCATCCCAAATCCTTATCCAGATCCCTTCCAAGTGTTATATACACTAGTCGTAATGGCTTGGCGCTTTCCCCCGATAGTTCTCTTCCCTTCCGAATTTTGCTTTCTTCCACGGCCTTTGGCATTTTCTAGGCAGCCCAGACAGCTGACTATTTGTCCCTAATCTGGGGACATTTGTTGCTTTCAAATTTTGTTCACAGCTGATATTTGGCCTCAGGGCCTCTATAATCATGCTAATGATGTCCCCTTGTTCCTTGTTGGATGTCCTGTGGCCTTGCTATGGTCTTGCTGCATTTGTGTACATTTGGGCAGTTTGTGTGCAGCTGTCATATTTGCTCCAATCCTCCTTTTCCTGCTATTTTCCCTCTCAAGGATCAGTCCAGTTTGTCTTTTATTTCTTGCAAAAGCCAGCTTCCTCTACTGAGAAGCCATTGTGAGTAAGATACCAAAGAGTACTTTTCAGAAATTAAGTGCCGAATGTAATGAAATGCTCTTATTAAGTGGGTTTCCAATAAACCCTAGCTCCTGAACTGCTCCCTTTTTCCTCATTGGGGGTTATAGGATTCTGAACAGGTAGTTCCAATGAGGAAGCAGTCTGGTTGAGACCTCAGGTAATCTGGTCTGCCATCTGGTGGCAGTCAGGTGTAAATTTCCTGACAGGGCAGGTGTAAATTTCTTGAAGTCAGGAATTTACCCTGTAGCAACAATTGTTTGCCTTGTTCACCTTGTTACCTTCAAGCTGCAGATGTTTCGGTTCATCATGAATTCGTATCAAGAACAATTTGATAAGGATCCTGGATGGACTGAAGAGAAGGGAACTATCAGGAGAAAGTGCCAAGCCATTACAACTATATAGCACTTGCAAGGGATCAGGATAAGGATTTGGGATGGGACGATGGAGGAAGGAAAGGTGCCCAACCACTTGGACGGTTGGGGATTGAACGCCGAGCTGCATGAAGCAAGACTGTCGCTCTACCGTCCAGCCAAAGTGGTTGGGCTGGATGGACTGAAACATCTTTCATTTCATTTCACCTGCACAGGATTGGTGATATGGACTGTAAATTGTGTTACAATAACATAAGTTAAATAACATACCCAAAAGATAATAATATGGAGCTTTGACATTGGCCCTTAGCACATTGGGACCCCCAACCAAATGAGAGAGCGCTTGGTGCACCTCACTGTTGAAAACACTATTAGGAACTGGAACTGTTCAAAGAGAAATGGCATTATTGTTATAAACAAAATAACTACATCCCTAAATATATCTGAAAAATTATATTTACTAATAATTTTTATAATAAAATATAATATTATAGATAAAAACTATAACACTGCTGCATTATGTGCATGTAATAACTCTTAAGCTTTATTTACCCACTAATGACCTGATGCTTCTAAATACCTTCTTTCCCTAAATGTATAGCAGTAGTAGTTTCTAATTTACTTTTAACCCTATTACAATTCTTTTAATTATTGACATACTGTATATAATTCATCCACATACCACGCCACACAATCATCACTCCTGCCCATCAACAATTCACTTACTCTCTTCAACACAGATACAGTACAGTATATGTAATGTAATATAAATGTATATATATATATATTTTAAACATTCAAACTGTATTAGGCACTTATTTAAATTAAGTATGTTCCTTTATTTGCTACCAAGTATGTCATCAAGCAGGAGGCATACTGTAATTATTCTGACTTAATCATTGTATAGGAAGCTATCTGAGTATGTTCTATGAAATCCAGCTGTTACTAAGTGTAGGAGCTTTTAAAACTTTGTGTTAAATTTCTGATTTATGTGACCCAGCTTCAAAACAAAAATACAAACCTGTTTGAAGAAGTTCTTCGCAATATTTTTCATGAAACCAAGGAATTTTCTCCTCTGGGTGGTCAATGCAAACAGCACGATTTAAGTCCATAAGTGTATAGCGTACACGTGAGGGGTATGTTGCCTGTTGAAAATTCAAAATTTGAATATAATGAACACAGTAAGCTGGTGGGCCACTCAGAGGTTCATTGAGATACTGTATACATACAGTATCTCAATGAGCCTCTGTGGCTGTCAAACCTTAGAAAATCTAACTGGGCCTCAAAGGCCAACTCAAGTATAACAGAAACTAAAACCAGAACCGGCTCTCTCTACAAGGTGAACAATACTTGGGATAAGAGATTAACCAAAACCTGAGAAAACTTACCAGAAAGAATAAATGCATCAAAATGAGCAACTGCTTGAAGGAAATTAGTAACCCTGCAGCAACAAGGCAAACAACTGGTGCTGTGGGATAAACACCCCAGTCATGATGTACTGCCATCACCAGGTGTTAGCCCAAGTCACCCAAAACCAACACAAAGTGACCATCTTATTCACAGGCTATTCGAACATAACCTACGCCTACACACATGTACACACACAAAATATTTATAGGGAGAGTGATCACTTCAAATGTGGAACATTCAAGAAAAGTTCTGAAAAATAGGGGTTCACCTTCTTTCAGCCAAGCGCCGGTGTATGAAAGCCTACATAAAGTGGGTATCCAGGCCAGAAAAAAGTATCCAGGAATCAAGCTCATACTGAGAAGGAAAAAAATGGAAAGGTAGAGAAACACATTTGTATGGTGTAACAAACCCGCTCTGCCATGTAACAAACCTCAAAGTGGGTGAAAGGACAACCATGGACTCAGAGAAAGAAGGCTCAGAGACTGAACCAACATCCTCTCTTGTACCCTGTGAGAGTGTGGGCAGAGACAAAACATCAGCAGAAAAAGCACTGAATCCTGGGTTGGAGACCCTCAGCTAAAGTCATTTAGGAGCCCAGATCAACAGAGAAATCTAGGAAGCCAAATGAACCAAAGCTGGCCAATTTTGACAGTCAATGTTGAAGCAGAGGAAGCCAAGAATGCTGGCATAAATTTGACCCAGGTGTCCAAGACAAAAAACTGAAGATGCTCCACATAAAACAACTGGAGACAGGCAGCCACACCACCCAGCTCAGCCAGGAATCACAGAAACCTAGACTTATGGCTTTCCTGAAACACAGCTGCATCTTGATAAGCCACCACTCGAGAGGATTGCTCAGCTAGCACACAAGTCCAACACCAGGAAACAGCAAACACCCAAGGATGAAAGGAGTCCTGGACCCAGCAAGCATAGGCAGCAAGAATGACCATCGGGGTCTAAAAACACCAAATCACATGTTGCACACAACAGCATTATCAGGTACAGAGACAAGTGAGACTGCCATAATAGCTCATTAAAACATGTCAACTTGACAAACCACAATCTCCTAGCAGCAAGGGATACTGGCTGCTTGGATCATCCACAGACAAGAACAATCCCTCGCATGACCCAACCACATCCTTGACCAAAAGATTGGGCCTGACGGCACAGAAGACAAAGCCAGATTCAATAACCATAAACACACAGCTAAATTCTATCACTCCCCATCAACAGGCTTTGCAGTAGGACAAAACCCCCTAAACACTATCTAAAAGTCAGATGACTTGCGAAGAGCCAACTTGAAGAGGAGGTAACTCAAGTTCCTCAAAGAAGTTAAGTCTGGTAGGGCAAGGAAAACACAAGCCAGTTACCAGGGAGGGAAATACAGAAACCGACAAACAATCGGAGCAAAACTTCAATATAGTAGAGCACAAAACTCAAACATGAAGCATGAAATGGAACAAACAAAAAATCAGTAATAGACCTGGATGGGACAAAATATTCAAAAGATAGCCAACACCATTTATCAAAAAGCCTGAAACAGGATGTAGGCCCGTCATTCTAACCTTATTTCCTAAGGTTTGACAGCCCCGCTTCTATTGCTCAAGAAACTACTGAGGGAGGAGGGGCCCTCCTAGAAATATGTTAGAATAATTTTAGGAAATCAAATAGATGATACAGGTATATGAGGCAACACTAGTGCCTAGTAAAACAACATATAACACTAGTGCCTAGTAAAACAACATATAACAAGTTATATATTTTCTTTTATACATTTAAAAGCTATTCAGTACCACTCAATTGCTCCTGAAAGCATGATCCTACTGACCTCTACCAAGAATTTGTTGTTGGTTGTTGCTCCAGGTCCTGGCTCGCTTGGGGACTTACCAGGGAAGAGTAGTCCTGTTGGCCCCCTGGTGGCCAGCCCAGCCTTGGTTTCAGGCACTGCTGATTCGGTGTTCAAACCCGAAGGTCTTCCCATGGCCCCGTCTCTTTCAGCAGATTGCTCTGACCAGGTACGTGGCTGGTTTGATCTTCTCATCTGATGTTTGCACCTGGTCTTTTTGACATGAGTTTATTATCACTTGAATGTATGATCAGGTGGATTCATTGATGGTATCCCACCTGCATGTTTCATCTCAGCGGCAGTATAAGTTTCCTGACAGTCCTTTCGACACTTCTTGACTCTTCGTAGGTTGTCTTCGATTTATGATCGGATTGTTTTGCCCTTTCTCTCCTGGTTGTTTCAGGACCGTCATTTTATGCCGAATACTGTCGCCTCATATCGTGCGGTGCTCGTGGAGCCGTTGAAGCATGTGTTCGGGGTGGATGTCACTTCTGCTCTGTTCCACAAGCTTTCTTGGGCATTGTTTCACTTCCGGCCTGCTCATGTGCCGCCAGAGCCATCCTAGACATTGGGCCGTGTGTTCTCTTTTCTCTCTTTTCCTTGGTTTGTGGTGCCCCCTTCAGTTCAGAACTGTTTTTTGTAAGGCTCTTTTCTTGTTGGCATTGACCTCTGGGGGTCGGGTCAGTAAGCTTCATGCTCTCCTCCAGTTTCTGCTCTTTTGGTCCTGGTGGTTGGTTTGTTCATTTGCAGCCATCTCCTTTTCTGGCAAAAATGAGACTGCTGCTTTCTGGAGGGGTCCTTGGGTTGTTGATGCTTGGTTGGTTCAGCCGGGGGTGCATCATGTTTTGTGTCCAGTTGGGCTCTTAGCCGATACTTGGGCGCCACGGCCTCCATGGCAGGGGACACGCTTTGGGTTGATTTCCCTTCTTCCCTATTCCAGGGCGTGGGTCTCCCAAGGCATCCACAGGATTATTCAGTCCAGCCAGCGTGCAGTCTATTCCCGTGATGGTCGTAAGTTCGCGGTTTTGGCTCCTGTTTTTGGTAATATGTCCTGGGGTGACTTTCGGGCACAAAGTTTATGGTCGACGAACAGGGTTCTGGTCAAACGGTACCTCGTTAATGTTCCGGACAGACTCGGGCTTGTGTAGCCTTGGGTCGCAAGTAGCCAGTTGTTTCAACTTCGAGTCAAGGAGCGAGTGGCAGCAGCCTTCCAGGTAGGTTCCTCTTTTCCTTTATCTTTGGTTTGGTAGCTCCAGAGAGCCAAAAGGGCTCTCCACAAAAAACAGCGTTGAATGTAATGAAACGCCTTTTACTGGGCGAGACCTGGAGGTTCCCCAGCATTCCTCCCTCCCTCCGATTGGCATTTGTTTCGAATTTTTTATATTCAGCCTCTGAACTTAGGTTGGGTAGCTGGCACGGGAAGTCTGGGGCTCTCCCATCCTCCCTCCCAGGGAGGGGGGAGATGCACAGAGAGCAGCATGGCATCTGTGGTAATGTCATGCCTGTTTGCTTGTTTCAATTCGGGGAGTTCTGCCTGCTCGTTCAGCTTTCGTTTTGTAATTTTTTACAAGTTGTAGTTTGTTTTGCGATTCTTACCTTTCTGGGGTACCTGACCAGATTGATGGCAGACATAGACTGCTTCCAACTATAAGTACTGTAATGTGCAACTTGGGAATGTCTATAGGCCATTGCTCCTCGTGTCTTTCTGACGGGGCCAGGTTCTGACTCGTGGTCCCCGTTAGGCCTAAAACTCCATTGATTGACTGTTGCCATGGTCTAATATATACACATCAGCCCGGTATAGCTCCAGGGAGCCGAAGGGGCTCTCCACAGAAAATAGCATTCATTCAATTCATTATACCATGCACACTTTATTGCATCACAGACAAGTACCACAACAGTCCAGTAATCATCTAGAGTCGCACTCCTCTAGGTGCACCTCACAAATTGTCAAATACAATACATTCACTTCATCCTTACAACCCGTTACCACAATGTATATAAACACAATAACAAAAATCATACCTTTGAATAGCATTCCGATATTTCTTCATCTAGCTGATCCAGGAAAGTGACGTTGAATATATTGTGAATTAGCTTAGAAGTCAAGTGGCCATACATATTCAGCGCCAAACACATATTGAGAATATTCAAACCTTTCAGACGACGGCCTTCACTGAAAATTAATAAAAATATTATTTCTGAGTTATATCTACAACTTTACATGTCATTGATCTAGCAACAATACCCATGATAATTACAAAAACTGTCCTGTGTGCTGTTCTATGAAAAAATTGCAGCAGCTGTAGTCTGCTTAGAAGTGACATTTAACTGTTACAATGAAAACCATATATTAAACAAAACAATATTACATATAAATTGTCAACTACAATAAATGTAGGTAATAATATTTTATTCACTTGGGCACCTAGAAGCCTCGAATCTCCAACCCCCAGAATGGGAGGTGCTCAAAGATTCGAGGCTCCTAGGGCCCAAGTGAATGAAATATATTACATATGGTTAAGTATCTCACTCTCCACAAAACAGGTATGTCTATAATTGGAATAACAATAATTACAGTTATTAAGAGCAAGTTACACACTTTAGAATGATGGTGGTGCATGTTGAGAAGAAGTGTTCTCCAGCAGCAGGATAATAACCCAGATTATATAAGCAGTTGAGTACATGGTCCATTGTATCTGCCAGAATATGCTCTTCATTATCAACCACATATTGTGCTAGGGCATCCAGTACCTGCAAAATTACAAGCATAAAATTAATCAGATATGTTTGGATCATATGTTATCATGAGAGTATCTCCAGACAGTTGTGACTCAGGATACAAACAGTACTATAGTAAGTACTGGATGCGCATTGATGACAGTACTGTAATGAGTACTGGATGTGCAATGATGACAGGGTACTGTAATGAGTACTGGGTGTGCAATGATGACAGGGTACTGTTATATTTTTTAACATATACTAAATACAGTAATGTAATTATATAAACTAATGAAAGCATTAACCCTCACCTCTGGTGCCATATACTTTGTATTGTAAATAGCGAAGCATATATCCTTCACACGGCGTGAATTTAATTCATGAAGACGAGGGATGAGTGCACTAATGAGTTTATCAAACAGGAATGTTCTGGAAGACCCATGTCGACACAAATAAGCCCGAGTAATGTTTGTGACATCCAGCAACGACTCGGCAGTCTGACATGTAATGAAAATAATGAAAAATTTTATCTTAACAAATATGAACTGTGCAATCATATATATTTTGTTCACATTATCCAAACTATTCAGAAATTTACTACATTCTTGGTATGGTATTTAATTACACCACATTATTGCAAAGGCAAAACATACTGAGGAAGCATTTTGCAATACACATTAAACATTTATCTCACATAATTTTCATATTAAATTATCTAGTGGTCTCCTTCAGTAAAAGTATAGCAGACACCGAAGTTCAACAACAGTTTTATAAAATTGTCAAAGTTAATGGGTGTAGCAAAGCCCCATAATGCAATATCCAGCTAAATGATAATTTTATAAATAAATGTAATGTAATTAAACATACCTTTAAATGTTCTTCTGCACATCCATCAAGCATACGGCTAACTGCTGTAATCTGCTCCATCGATCGCCTTTGAATATTCTTTAGATTTAGAGCCAAAGCTATTTGGATACCCCGAGACAAATTTAAAACATCGAGAATAGAAAACTGAGGACCACACTTGAGAATTTTGTCCACAACTTCTTCAGGTATTCCTTTATTGTTATTATAGGCCATCAGGAATGATGACATGCTTGCCAGCCTGCTTGGTATAAGTCCAGTCTGGCTGTAAATATCCTCAAGTAACAGCGATGACATAACTTTTTCCAAGCTAAAATTTCTGTATGTTCCACCTAAATTGTTATTGAAATACATGTATTTCTGGTACACTTTTCTGCGAATTGAATCTTCAAAGCCTAAGTAAGTGACAGGAGCTCTTTTAATCTCTCTCTCAACAGCTTTCATAGAGTTAATCCAAAAAGCATTGCACAACTGGATATTTGATGTCTTAAAATCCCTTAAAATTTTGAAAAGGATAACAATATATTCATGAAAATCTGAATTATCAAGGTATTCAGCAACTAACTCTTCAAAGTATCTCTTGGCTTTTAATGAACAATAAGGAGCTAAAAATATGAGTTCAGACCCTCCACCAGAACTTTTAGAAATCTCAAACAGAGATATCGAGTGCTGATGAATTTTCCTAGATAATGCTAGTGGTTCTAAACAGCTCTGTAAATAGTTACTTAAATCCATAATTTGCATGGCACTAAGCAGGTGAACTCTATCTACTAAGTACAACATTAAGCGACGAAAGAGCAGCCTGTGCTTTGATGGCCATTCCATATAGCTTACAAATTTTATAATTTTCAATATTACTTTGGAGTCACATTCTTCAAAACAACCATCATCTAAGTTTTTCTCAATTAGCTTTCTGTAATCATCTAACAAAGATTCCGTAACAAGTTTCTTTGTACTATTTAGACATATAGTTATCAAGTATAATTCATCAGGTGTTGAGCAAGTTTTAAGCTTTGCTGCCACGGCAGGTAATAACTTGGACTGCATAAAATAAGCCTTAATGCCTTGGTCACGAAGATATACTGTAAGTCTTGAAAGTGCATTTAAGCTAAAGTCATCTAATCTTTCCATACACAACACTGTTAGTTTCTGCATAAGAGTTGAATCATTTCTCAATCCTAATTTATTTAAATACAAAAGCAAACAAGAAAGTGCAGTATTATTTAAATTTTCACAGACATTTTCTAAGTGTACTAATAGCTTTTTAAATACCGAATGAGTCAAAATTTTCTCCAATAAAAAATTGCGTTGAGAATTTGTCACAAATGGAGAATCAAAACCATATCTTTCGTACATCTTCTGAAGATCCCACAGTGTAACAATAGCTTGACTTGACTGCTCTACTGTTAAATGTTCTCTACAGTGCTCCACTGTATCAAACACTTCCTGAACACTATTTGCTTGGTTAAGTTTAGTCACAACTGGATCATTTAGATTTTGGTACAAGTTAACCCGTAAGAGGTCAAACTTATCTTTCTTTAATAATCTACGTCCAATAAAACCATCATTATCAAATTCGGAATCACTAATGATACCTGAATCATCAGAGACATCATCACTTGTTTGACTAACTGATCTAACAGAAGCTTCAATTTTGGTAGGGATTACAATTCTCCTCCATCCACAAAGGAGACATGTCTTGGGATATTTTACATGATGATTAACAGGTAGGAAATGGACAGATCTGACACATGAAAAATAGTGTTGGTGATTGCAATGATGCTGTTGATAATGGATCCTGGGAAAATATGTCATCTTGCACATAGCTTCAAAGTTAAAGTGGCTCTGACTCTTCATCCGTGGGGAGAAAAGTGGAAGGATGAACTTCACTCTCTGCATCTGAAAGTATTTTAGATTTGCATTGTAGATTGACAAATATTAGAGAACAGTGTATGTGTTTTCACAAATAAATTAAAACAAAGCTGGATCAGAACTGTATATCAATTAAATCATTAGCAGCATATGATTACGAGTACTGAATACAAATATAGTTAATCTGTTCAAAAATAACTCCCAAAAATCAATAATTCTATATATAAAAAGATAAATATATTCATTTATAACTTCAATAATTTTATTAAGAGTTCATTTATATTATTTGTGGGGTTACAGTTCACATTGTAAACAACAGTTTACCAATGGGTTTTAAAATATAACCTAACCCTGCCCATCTTAACCTTACTTAACATACCCTAATGATATATTGTCCTGTTTTTAATAAATAGAAAACGAGTTTTGTTGAAATGTCTCTACAATTTGATCGCACCCCATTCTCGAGTCCCCCTTGGCCCTCGACCCAGCAAGTTCCTAATTTATTTTTTTAGTTCTACCCCAAGGGGTGAGTTTATTGGGCAGTGCCACAAATCCTGAGTGAACATATTGCCATAGCAGCATGTACAACACCCCAGTAGGAAGAGCACCCACTGGGTTGTTCATCCTGTCACTTTCTTTTTTTTTTTTTTGAGATATATACAAGAGTTGTTACATTCTTGTACAGCCACTAGTACGCATAGTGTTTCGGGCAGGTCCTTGGAATGCGATCCCTGCCGCGAAGAATCATTTTTACAACCAAGTACTCATTTTACTGTTGAGTTACAACAGAGGCTACAGTTAAGGATTGACGCCCAGTAAATCCTCCCCGGCCAGGATACGAACCCATGACAAAGCGTTCGCAGAATGCCAGGTGAGTGTCTTACCACTGCACCACGGAGACTGGTTCCCAAACACAGCTGAGACTTGCTTAACTTGTCAGAAATGCTATGGTTATTAGTGCCTTTAGATATTGTACGTATTAGCTCTATAAATCCAACATTATGTTTGTAAATCATCTATGTATGTACTTTCCCTGAATAAAAAAATTAATTTAATTGTAATTTAATTTAATTTAATTTCAAGTGAACAGCATATTTACACTGGCTAAGTATGTTTTTTTCCCTCACGTGAATTAATTGGGTATTATTCAACAATTATAATGTACTTTTATATTTGTGTCGTTTCAGATCATTAACTGAATACATTTAATTATAACTAGGCGTAACAGAATAATGCTTGATATTAGATCAACCTCGAATTGTAGTTAACAAGTCCTTAGCATGTAGGTGTTATGGTGCCGCTGAGGGCGTCACACTTGAGTGGCAGCGGCACTCATGGCTTCTCAACCTCTCCTCATACTGCTTTTATGTTTTAGGCTCCTCATCTGCTGTGAATATTAGTCCCGTCGGCCTGGAATGCCTCATACTCCGCAGGCCTACACGTGCAGCCTCCTCACTACGCCATCAGCGGCTCCTCATTGTTTACATCTTAGCCAGCTGTTGTGTAAATGCCTCTTCATTCATGGGTCTGAATGTGATTTAACTAAAGATATTTTTCTAAGCCCTAAAAATTTTGAATTGTGCGCAGCTGGTTGGATTTCATATAATTCAGCAATTCAATACTATACTGTATAACATGGCGGGTATTTCAAATGTGAGAATGGGCATATGTGTTGCCTGTACTCTCACACTTGTAATTTACAGCTTATCATGCCGACTTAATCTCTGAAATGTTCACCATTGGGGAATTCCTTATCTGCAGGTGTCTGAAAGTATTGAATCCCCTAATGGTGAATATTGCAATTGTTCAAGAGCTGAACAATTTCTTGGTCACTATGTGATCAAGAGCTATACTGTTATTGCGTATTATAAGCCTATTAGTGGCTTTAGGCATGGTATGTACTAGCTCTATCTATAAATCCTTTATGTGTGTAACTCATTCTGAATGTATGTACTCTTACCTGAATAAACATTATCTTATGTTATCTATATATCTTCGATTGCCCTGTTATCAACGAGTCCAGACCAAATGGTATGAGGTACTTTGAGCTCTGTAACTACTTCATACATTCACGAATATTGGAAGATATTCTTGTGCTTTACCAATATTCTAATCTGCTCTACCCAGATTTTGCTGGTGCAGGCTAATAGATTAGACTCGGTACATTTCATGTTCTCTCCTGATTCCATGTATGAGTAACCATCCTGTGAGATGGGGATATTAGATGAACTAATAGCTAGTTTTTTTATCTACACTGTGTAATCCTTTATGTAGAACAGGGCAGCAGGACATTGCTACGTATACCTAAGCGTGTTAATAAAAATAATCCTAAAGGTTGAAGTTGATGTTCGACGTTCTTTCATATCTGGCTGTTAGTGCTTAATCTTTATTTATTTTTATTGTTTCCTCGTCAGTGTGGTATGTATTTGGGCTTATATAATAATTTATTTTGTTGGGGACAGGCAGCCTATGTATGAATACGGTAGGCTGATATCGAGGTCCCCCCCCCTACCCAAAGCCCTTACTGACCCTCCTCAATATACATGACGCCACAACAGTTGAGCAACTCCTGGGTGTCTATTTACTGCTAAGTGAACAGAGGCATTAGGTGAAAGGCAATGTGCCCAACCATTTCTCTCCTGTCCGGAATATTACCAAGACTGATTTTATTACATAAATTACATCATAGGTCAACTGGATGACGATAGTGTCTCTGTATATGGGTTGTGTAAGGGAATTTACAAAGTAATAAACCTTTAAGCATTAATTAGCACTCCAGCTGTAACCTCTGTAAAAAAGAGCTATGACACACTGCTCAATACGTACTATGTTAGTGAAAGATTAGTTATTTTTCAGATCAAATGACATAATATACCACGAATTCCGTAACTATTTTATTCACTCGCATATTTCAGAAGACATTCTCATGCTGTACCCAGTCTGCTAATGCAGGCAAGTAGAGTAAACTAATATTCCATGTATGAAAATGTTGAGGAGCACAGATTTTAGGCATGATCCCTGCTGAGGCGTGTTGGATGTTGGAGTGAAGGCACCAGGTGTTTACTTCCTAATGAAGAATGTTGTACTATTTCTCAGGAAGGTTCTAAATGGCATCAGTATAATGGCCAATTATATGTAGGGACATTGTATAGCTTTTAAATCAGTCCATTATATCAGAGATTGATTGGTGAAGATTAAGCCATCCAAGAGGTGGTACGGGCATGAGTGCTTTTTTTTTTTGAGCACGAGCATGAGTAGATTTTTTGGAGTGAATGTGATCTTTGGTCGTGAACGGATATACTGTGTGTTGAGCTCACATTTAAATCGTCAGTCATTACTATGTGGCTGCTATCGCGGGAGGGGATACTGCTTGACAGTATTTATGAGGGTCTCCAGCTGCTGGACACCTTTTTTGACCAGAAGAATGGCAGTATTGATGGTTTCAGGGTAGTTACTGCAAGACTCAGAGACTCTTAAACCTCTTCTGAGGTCGTTCGTTGCTTCACATTCTAGGAGATAGTGAAGTAGTGGCTTTTCTCTGTTTGTTTGACAGAAGATGCATTCCCAATCTTTGGGATAACCAATTTCCCAGTTGCATTTAGACTTTCTTAGTTATATAACAGTTCTTATATTATATCAAAAGCTTTATATACTCCTCTTGTGATTATAAGTACACATACAAGTTGGTTCATTCGGGGAAGTAGTACCCCTCGATGACGACCCTATGTAGGTAGCTACTTATCTGGCTGCGGGTCTCCCCATCATGACTATATTTCACCCTGTGCACCCGTTGCTCTGTGGTCCTGGGACTAAGGTGGTCTGCCCCTTGGCGTGGACCTGGGCCATATTCTGCAGCGGGAATATGTCCAGGTTAGGGCTTTCACAGAGCAAATCTCAAGGTCGCTCTTGGTGAGGTCCATATCCTGATTTCGTGATAATAGGGTTTCGTAGGTGATTTTGAAGGCATGTTGGACGAATCTGTGCATGGGTTCTCAATCCAAATTGTTTCTTAGATCAAAGTTTGATATATTCCATATTTCAGCTGAAGCAGTAAAACATGATATTCTCAAAGCATTGACCGGTTGTTTCCAACCGTAGTTCACTAATTGGTGTTATCTTTTTTTGTGTTGTTTATGCAGATAATCTCCGCTGCCTTGAATGGCTCTGGCAATTAACCTAAAGTTAGAATTTCATTTTATATGTTAAAGTGATTGTAGATCTTTGGTAGTAATTTGACTTTTCTGACGGCAATATTTGCGGGACTCGTTGGGGGCTTCATTGCATGCACTTTAAGGTCTTGCAGTTTCCCGACGGGTTATTGATCGGGTGAGCGGGGGGGGGGGCAGTGTCGGGGTTCTGTGTCACTGATGGGGGTACTGTGTAGGGGGGACTAATCTGTTTTGTCCCCTGACTGACCGTGTCAGACTGTCGGTTATTCTTTGTCCGAATGTTAGAAGCTGATAGGGTTTTTTTTTCCAGACTGAGCCCATGAGGTCTCCTGGTTCTTGTGCGTCTTCAATGTTAATGCATTGTTCCTGACAATCCTCAGTGATGTATTGTATATATGAGGTTTGTTTTCTCCTCAAGCTTGTAGACACAAGACAGTGCTGCTATTCTGTGGTTTTGTCATACATGGGACATAAGTCTACAGGTGATGTGAGTAGAATCTACTTTGAATGGAGTATAGAATGTCTTCTAATATACGTTAAAATAACAAAATAGTGTCTAAGCTTCAGGTACGCCATGCCACACGGGTTCAGGTGATTGATAACTGAGCATTCAATAATAAGCCATCCTCAGGGTAGAAAGATAAAGTACATGAAGTTATACCTGCCATAAGTAACGATACACAAACGTAATTCTGGCAATTTCAATGTTGATGGAAGCTTTTTGTTGTTTGTTCGTATAGTTTTCAGTTATAAAATAATCACAACTTATTGGTAGTGATTCCAACCCTTCGGTGCGTCAGTGATTCTTCTCCGTCTCCCTCTTATATCTTCAACTACGATAGCTTTACCAGCTGACATTGGGATGCTAGGTCCAGTTTTAAATATAATAATGTACCTGAATTTTACCTGAGGACCAATATCTCTCTAGTGGCATCGAAGAGGACAGGAAGCTAGCAACTTGTCAAAGGTCCCACCAATTATCCTGAATATTTTATCGAGCTGGATTTCAAGTTCAGCAGCGCTTTGGCATTTACGATTTGCTGGTAAGCGGTTCCATGTGTTTATAACCCCCTATTGGTGGAAAAATATTGTTTTCTGTTCTACGTTGTTGCTTGTTGAGCTTGAAACCGTTCTTCCTTTTTTTGTTTCAATAATAATAACAATTAAAACAAACTATGGGCAGATTATATTGCATGGTATTGATACATGATATAGCATACTGGGGCTGGCTGTGTGTTGTGGAGGTGTGTTGTGGAGGTGTGTTGTGGTGGTGTGTTGTGGACGTGTGTTGTGGAGGTGTGTTGCGGAGGTGTGTTGTGGTGGTGTGTTGTGGACGTGTGTTGTGGAGGTGTGTTGCGGAGGTGTGTTGTGGAGGTGTGTTGTGGTGGTGTGTTGTGGAGGTGTGTTGTGGAGGTGTGTTGTGGTGGTGTGTTGTGGAGGTGTGTTGTGGAGGTGTGTTGTGGTGGTGTGTTGTGGACGTGTGTTGTGGAGGTGTGTTGCGGAGGTGTGTTGTGGAGGTGTGTTGTGGAGGTGTGTTGTGGTGGTGTGTTGTGGAGGTGTGTTGTGGTGGTGTGTTGTGGAGGTGTGTTGTGGAGGTGTGTTGTGGTGGTGTGTCGTGGAGGTGTGTCGTGGAGGTGTGTTGTGGTGGTGTGTTGTGGAGGTGTGTTGTGGTGGTGTGTTGTGGAGGTGTGTTGTGGAGGTGTGTCGTGGAGGTGTGTTGTGGAGGTGTGTTGTGGAGGTGTGTTGTGGAGGTGTGTTGTGGAGGTGTGTTGTGGTGGTGTGTTGTGGAGGTGTGTTGTGGTGGTGTGTTGTGGTGGTGTGTTGTGGAGGTGTGTTGTGGAGGTGTGTTGTGGTGGTGTGTTGTGGAGGTGTGTTGTGGAGGTGTGTTGTGGTGGTGTGTTGTGGAGGTGTGTTGTTGGGAAGCTTGCGTCACCAAGGCCGTCCTGGAATAAATATTGAACACAAATTCCTCTCCCTCTTAGAAAAATAGTAATAATAATGATAATAATTATAATACAGACCATTAAACAGAACAACAAATAATATTAATAATAGAGATCGTCAAACAGAACATCAAGGCATGTGGGAAAGCATCCAATATTCGTGAGTGTATGAAGTAATTACCTTGTACTGTACCCCCAGAGTTTGCTAGTGGAGGCTAATAGATCAGCCTCGCTTATCATGTTCTCTCCTAATTCCATGTATGAGTAACCATCCTGTGAGATGGGGATATTAGATGAACTTATAGATAGTTTCTGATCTACACTGTGTAATCTTTCATACAGAATAGGGTAGCAGCACATTACTGTGTATACTTAAGCTTGTAAATAAAAAAAATAAAAAATCAGTTGAAAGCATCGGAGTGTGTACATGTGAATGCTACACAATATTCATCTATAGACATCCATATGTGCTGAAATACATGTGAAGAACCTCACACACACTCTCACAGCTCCCTGACAAAAGAGAGCA